AATCCAATCTCTGTGTCTCACCACCCAGTTAACATCTTTCTTTCCTCGTCTATCTATGTTATGCACGTCGTCTAAATTCCTAGGAGCTCCAGGAATATATTGCGTACAACCATACTGACGGAGCACGCGATCAACTGGATGCCACTCAATAATAGCATAACATATAAGAGGTATAACCGATATCCATACCTCTAATGACCCACTAAGGTGGGGTGGGATGCAAGCTTTCACTTCATCGCTCGCATAAGGTATCCACTGAAACTGAAATATAAATATACAATTCAAATAAATAAAATATTCTAATTATATCTAACATTTTAAATTAAAATATTAATAATTAAACAAATTTAAAAACATACCTCAGACCCAGCTTTCGTATCAATAAGTAAACGAATTTCCTCTAACCCAGTAGGTATACTTTTATGGTCCTTTCTTTTCATCGACCACCTATGAAATATAATATAAACTAAATATCACCCTATTTAATTGAAAATATTTAAATCAAAATTTAGTTCGAAAATTACCTCAACAATAAGGGGAATACGTATGGTTCATTCACGATCGGGCATAAGAAACGCATGCGGAACCACGCCCATGATTGTAGAAGCAGAAGACATCCACCGATAGCAGTTTTCTTATAATTCGTCGCCCGACACATTTCTCTAAAGAGAAATGCCAAAACTGCAGCACCCCAACTATATCTTCCAGCTTCATCAAAATCGATCAGATGCCGCAACCACATACAATGCACCTGGTTGCGAGATTTGTCGGGCATCAATATTCCTCCAATTATTCGTAGAATATATGCCCGAGCACATGCCTTTGCTTGATCCTCTGAAGCATTTTCATTTAAAACCTCAAAATTAGCTTTCAACCAAGATAAAGCTATTCTACCTCCATTAAACTCTGGCGGAGCAGCTCTAAGATAATCAATGCACATTGATTGCCAATCACCATCCGCCATACTACACATCATATTTCCGTCGACGGGAAGCCCCAGATGCATAGAGACATCCTCCAATGTAATTGTCGCCTCTCCACATGGAAGGTGAAAAGTGTGTGTCTCGGGCCTCCACCTCTCAATCAGTGCAGAAATTAGGACATGTTCGAGTTTGCAACCGCCTATAATTGTTACAATATACCCGAACCCGGCAGAAGCCAAATATGGCAAAATACGTTCCGGTGTCGGTATACGTGGATTTTTAATAAAAGTCTCTAAAATACGATCAACATCCTAAATAATATATATTATAAAAAATAAAAATTAATATAAATTCATAATAACTTTAAAATAAAAATAAATTTAAATATTAACATTAATTATAAAAAATATTACCATATCGCTAAAATGTCAATAGATATGATCAATATCCAATCGCAACAACATTTCGTTTTCCATTATAACTGTAGACAAAACAATATAATTAGCAAAAAAATTAATAATTCTAAATAAATAATAATTATATAAATATTATTTTAATAAAAAATAATATTTACATAAATATATTAATATAAAAAATAATAACTATTTAAAAAAATACTAACATAAAAATAAATTTCTTACCACTAATAACAAATTTAAAACTCAAATAGTTGGAGAATTTGAGTTATATAAGAGAGGAGAATATGATTTTGGTGTGAAGAATGAGGGAGGGTTGAGGGGGTTTATATAGGGGAGGAGGAGGGGTAGTTAGGAAAAACGGATGGGGGCATTTATGACATTTAATGGAAGGCGCGTCCCCGGGTATGCGCTTTCCACATGTGTCTGCTGATATGGCAAAGGCGCGTCCCCGGGGACGCGCCTTCCACACGTGACATCCAACTCAGCGAAAACACGGGTAAAGCGTGTCCCCGGGGACGCGCCTTTGTCAACTCAGCAGAAAGGGTACTACTTCTGAAAATATTGGTCAAACGATATCAGAAAAAAAAATTAAAAAAAAATAATGTCAGTTATGTAATTTAGCCGCGATAAAGTATAGCTGAGTTGGATTGAAATGAATAGGGTGAGTTGAGGATGTAATGCGTACGGTAACGAAGTTAACGACGAACAAAATATACTCCGATAAATAAATAACGATGTTAACAAGACAAAGAAAAAAGGCGAATTGGCATAAATAATATAGTATAATGGTACTGCCAGATTTTTTTCAACACAAATCGAAATTTCACAAAGCCTTTTCACCCGTCCTTCAACGCCGCTACTTTAATCCAAGGCACTCACAGACCCTCTTTGCTTGCTTCTCCCCCCTCCATTGATGACGACAGCAGGTGAATGTGAAGTCGAAGGTGAAGAAAATGAGAATCAAATTCTCATGCAACAAACCCAGAAGCTGCTTTCTTTGCATCTCGGAGTTAGTTTCAGTGTTTTCTTGGCTTACATCCCGAGTGTTCACTCTCCTTGATCCCGAAGTTACAAACCCAGGTGGGAGATATCAAGGCGAAGCTTTTGACGGCGGAGGATCAGTTGAGGCAGATGAAGTCGAGGAGAAAAGAGGACTCCAAAGCAAACGCCAGAGTGGTGGAGATCTTCGCTTCCCAAAGGAACGCGTGGCAAGCCGAGGAGAAACAGCTTCTGCAGCAGATCCAGGACCAGAGGGCAAAGATCGAGGAGCTGGAGAAGGAGACCCATGAATCCAAGCGGAGAATTGAGGAGCTACAGGACTTTATCGGCTTCATCTTGACCACTAGGGCTGCTGGCGGAGAACAAGAACAAATGGAGGAGGAATTCGCCGCGGAAGATTCCCAAGTAAAGTTTAATGTCACAAACAACGGGAATTTCCCTTTCAATTCAGATTTATTGGCTTCTGCTTCTTCTAAGTTTTGGGCGGACAGAGCTACTGCCTGGCTGGTTCGTTTCAATCTTCTTCTTCTTCTTCTTATCTGTTTTTAACCTTTCAAATTCCCAAGCAAATACTAGATTACTGGGAATGTTGAAATATCTCATAGCTTTTCTTTTTTATTTATTTTTTCAACTGATTGTGTGGAACAAAGGAGACAAATTATTGTGAAAACCCTTAAATCAGTAGGAGAAAAACTACACCTTTTCCTTTCCTACCAACTCTTTGTTTTTTGTACGTTCTTTTATCCCACATTTTTCTGTATCTCATTGTTGAATTTTTAAATAGAAAAGGCACTGCTTCAGTCCTTTTACTTTTTATTTATTTATTTGGTATAAGGAAGCTGCTGCTTAGAAATTAGGTCTGTAACAATTTGGTCAAACATGAGAGCACTGTATCATGAATCCGAAGTCCTTTTACTGAATGGCCACCATTTATTACCTTTGCTTTGCATACTGGTTAACTTAATAACTTCTGTTCTGCCCGAGGTTGCTTTACGAAATTCCTTACACCGACAGAAGCTTTCTGCGTAAATACGAGAACGAATAATTGGATTGATGTCTGCTTGCTCATGCATCTTCGTCTTTCAGAAGATTTAGTTTGTGTTGAGTTGTGCATTAGTCTCTTTATCATTAATGCTTAGTGCATGTATTCCTTTCTCTTTATTTGATTCCCTTTGTTCCTTTTCATGATGTGTTGGTTTGGTGCCCACTCAAAAGGTAGCTTTTGGTTTCTGACTAAGCCCTCTCATGTGGCTGGAGCACGCTTAACTAAGACATGACAACTGCATCATAACCTATACAATTTCCTATAAAAGTCAACAAGGCTTCAATCAGTTGCAACTTGCAACCAAAGCAGCTTCAAGAAGCATGTATATGATTTTGAATCAATTCTCATACTTTAAAATTTGTAACTCTTGTTCCTTTCATAACATTGCCAACTGACCTTCGATCAATCAACTGTGATTCTCATCAAACATAAAACGGAATGTTTTGCGCACATTATTTACTACCATCTGAAGATATTAGATGGAGTTGGTCATGACTGGTTTTGATACTAGCCATGAGTGCTATTGTGTTGATTATCTGGTCTTGCCGTACTTGTCTTTGAGGGTAGAATGAATAAATGAGGGATGAGAGCGTGAAATTGATTGCCTTTTGTTTTACGTTGTCATTTTTCACCGCATTGTTAAGCATTCTCATAACCGTTTAAACTTTTCCTTTTATTAAAAAAATGTTAAGCATGACAGAAGTTGAGGATTTCTCAACTTTGTATTTGGACTTCAAAAGTTTGAGGATTCACAATCCAATTTTTTGGCCTTTTTTTCTCCCTGGATAATTTGCTACATCTGTGAATGTTAAAGGTTAATTGTTGGATGTTTATGCTTGCAGGATGTACAGTATGAATCCCTTGAATATTTGTATCATATGAAGCATTTTGTTGCAAGGTACAGTAGAACAGTCTCGATATTGGTTCTTAAAATATGTCCATGTGAAATGTTGTGGCTGATGAAGGATCAATTTATGTTTTTTCTTCAGAAGGGAATCACCTTGGAAGGTAGACGGTGAATCAACTGGAGTTTCCTCTAAACTAAAGCTGCTTGAACAGGAACTATTGAATTTGGAAAAAATTGGTAAAAGTTATTTTTCAAGGGTACCTTCATTAATGAGAAAGCAGGCCAGATTGTATATTTCAGCAAAGATGGAAGATCTCTGTAGAAGAATGGTGAGACATATCTGCCTTAGATTGTATATTTCAGCAACTTTTTTTCTACTTGTGAATCTTGGGCTTTTAAGAGCCATATATACCATATAAAGTTTCAAATTGGAACTCAAACATATGTAATAGGATTATGAGATAAACCCAATGGTGCATTTCCATTTAGGACTTGGTTTGCTACAGTTTTGATGGAAGTTGATTTTGTTGCAATTAATAATATTTACAATTTAACCTTTAACTTGGATGACCAATCATTTTTGGAGATGATCCATACGTGAAACCGACTATTTCTATTTCTTCACCAGAACTAGATCCATCATGCTATGTTGTTTAGCTCAATCTTTTTTCTTAATCTTGCAGCAGGCTAGTGATCCCTCTGAACCTACACTCAGTCTAGAATTTAGAACTCAGAGACGGACTGAATTTTTGCTGGAAGCGTTTCGGCTTCAGCAGCATGCATCTGAAACTGGACAAAAGCTAACGGCATTACAAACCGAGATTGGGAAGAGTTGCAACGACAGGGATGATGTTGGAAGCTCGGCCACGGCCAAAATGGGCATGAAACGACCCATGGATTCCATTAGAAACAACTTACAGGAAGTACAAAGAAACCTGGAGATATGGTTGGCCAGAATTATAGGAGACCTGGAAGGGATTCTGGCCAGAGATAGCTCGTGCTCGTCTCGTGTTTGGGAATACTGCGTTTCTAGATATAATAATAACCATTTTGTGCAATAGAAACAAATATTGGTCTAACTCAGTAAATAGGAACTGATCAGGAAATATATATAGTAGTAGTTCTAATAGGTAGTTTATCTATGAGGATGAAATGAAAGAACTTACATTTCAATGAATGTAAGCGTAAGTAATTGTTATATTCCTTCTGGTTTCTGGCAGCCTCAAGTTATTGAGTTGTTCATAGCTAGCATCAAAATGAAACAAGTAACTGCAGTTAATGAACTGCCAGATCAGGCACTGACGCTTGTTCATTGGTTTCTTTAAGCCGTAGAATAGATATCTCAGCTTAGTTGTTGATTAAGCCATGGATTCGAGAGGCGGATTTGTGTTGATGAGGAAGTGTAATCCACCATTTGGTGAAAGTGGAGCCTTTCAGAAACACATCATTGCTTATTTGCTTATTATGAAGCCATTCCTCCAACTCTCCTTCCAGTTTTATGGTTCTTTCCCTGATATCTTCAAATGCTCCAGGGTTGGTATTCCTATAGAGCTCCTCTACTTCGGCCCAGAAACAGGATTCTGCACTCGATCCCACAGGCATTCTCAAGGCATGCTCACGCCATCTTTGGGTGTATCTGTAGCGCCTTGGTCTGCCTTTGTGCATATAGGGTCCAGTGTCCTCATCCTTTGCATGCCGATAGTAGTTGGCGATGTCCAAAGGCTCAACAATTCGACGGTACTTGGTTGCAAGCTCTATCCATTCTTTTCGGCTCTCGAATCCTTCAGGGAGTTCATACCTGTTCAGCATTTCAATAATCTCATCCCATATCCCTGTTAGTTCCAGCCTCTTTACATTTGCTTTGAAATCATCCTCGTCTTTTGAAATCTTAAAGGCGTCATAATAGCCTACATTGCAGAAAGCTGATTTGGTCTTGTACTCTTCTAGTAATTGAAGTCCGGATACAATGTCCCTCTTCTTACTATCCATTCTTTCCTGGTTACTTAACTTTTGCTTTTCGTGTTCTCCTGCAGCACGAAGGCACAACCTAGCTCTTGCGCTCTGGAAATCAAAGATGCCAGCAAAGGGATCACGTTAGGAATAACACGACACTCGGACACCTCTGTGATCGAGTGAAGGACATATTTTGACAAGTTGAACAGGTGAAAGTGATACTTACCAGGCCAAGGTCATTCAAGGCATTGCTTGTTGGTATATTCTCAGCAGTTGCGCCGTTTGGAGAGAGCGGAATCGCTTCCAAATGATCTAATTGGACAAGTGGCTTACTTAAGCTTTCTTGAAGCTCACTTAGATAATTGAAGTGGTCGTCGAGGCTTCTCTCGGCGATGGATTTAAGTTCATTATCGGAGCACAACTGAGAAGAATAGAACAGTAGTTGCAGAATAGCATCCGCATTGCTTACCAAAACCAGCTTCTTATGTCCAGTGCAAAATACAAAAGTTCCACAGGGCCTATAAGGACTTAGCTCAATGAAGCTTGCTACCGTTTCCAATATCGGATTTGTGTTTCCCATTAACCGGCAGGCAGCATGGCTGGCAACAGCTGATGCATTTCTCATAACCGTTTCATAAAACTTTGATGCTTCCACAATAGATCCCTGAATCGGAAACACCGCCTTCTGGTTCAACAGACACAGGATCCGCTCTAGTTCTTTCCCCATGGAAGACAATGGGGCAAGCAAAATCCGAGGGACGATATCATATCTCATCACAAAATGCAGAAAGTACTGCGACCAATTCTCTCTCGTAAGGGCATGGTTGAAGATGAAATCACCGACGAGAGGCGCTCCGAAAGTCACACAAAGAGGCGACATCGAAGTTTTCTCAGGTTTCAAGTACTGCTCCAAGAACCAAACTGTTGCTAGAATAGCAACGGCACCACCAGAAGAATGTCCAGTAAAAACTATCTTCCTCTTCTCTAATATAGCTTTTTCCACCTGAGAAATATCAAAAATCATAGGTACCAACTTCAAGCTATGCTCATTTACTTTCACATATCCATTATTTCGGCCAATGGTTTGCATTTTAACTGCCCTTTTAACACTATGTGGGCTTAACTACAAAAAAGTTAGTAAATTGAATCCAATCCCACAATTTCAGTAAAACTAAGACTAAATTCAAATCAATTAGTCTGCAAAGGAGACGAGAAGATCATGAGTTATTTAAGTTTGATTCAATCAACACTTGAATCGAATTCTTAACAAGTTAAAGTGAACTATTTGATACCCGACTTAAAAATCTAACAAGTAATTCAAAAAATAATATATTATTAATAATATTAATATTTATATTTTTTAATTACATGCTTTATTTACTTAAGGTTCAAATTTGAACTCAAATTCGAGTTTTAAGTCTGAGCATGTTTTGAGTTTAAGTTTTTTCTTTTTGAAATCGAGTCTAACTTCAATTTTTGATTGCGAGTTAAGCCTGAAATTTTAAGTTTACAAGCTTTTAAGTTAAACTTAGCTCTAAATAATTCGAATTGAATCAAACTCAACAATAGTCGAGTCTGACTCGACTCATGTACAGCCCCAATGGGTACATAAACATCCGGATCCAAGGATAAGTATCAGCTAAGGATTTACAAATATGAAGTGAACAAAAATATGAAGTCAATGGTAACTAATCTGTACCTCAGTTGGAAGCGAAGATGTGGCCAAAATCCACTCAAATCTTCTCAATAACCCTTCATTAACAGTGGCAAGTTCATCACGACCAACACTTCTAAGAGATGTGGCAACTTTATCTTTGCCCTGCAAGTCAGACTGGTCAACCTTGATTTCCCCGAAAGATTGTCGAGTGAACCAGTGAGCAGCAGACCAGGATCCAGGGAAGCTGAAGAAGACATCGGATGAGGTACGAGAATTTTCTACGAGGAATTGCTTATCCGGTGACTTGTGTGCTGCCATGGAAACTAAACATGCTTTCTTAACAAGTTCTTCACTGAACCCTGAAATTTCCTCGAGCGTCAAGCTACCCATTTTTCCTTTAGAATCTGCAAACAAGTTTTGGAAGCTGGGGTTTTTCTTCTTTCTTTTCTCGGCTTTCGAGCTTAAGCTTAGAGGGACTGAGGGAGGTGAGTGCCGAGAAAGTACGAGGAAACTGGGTTTTACGCAAATTGACCGTTTCAATTGCGTGTTGATTGGTGCTGGTATGGGGTTTGTGTCTCTTCGAATGTTTGTGTTCACTTGTTTAAAACTCAGGGTAAACTACACATTTAGTCACCCACATATGTTTTCTATTTCGTTTTAGTCATCCAACTTTTGCTTTAAAATCATGCATAACGTTACATTTTTGGTCACCTACAGTAAAGAATAAATCAAAATTTTGATGCTACATTTTTCTATTTTTTAATGATGATAGAATATTATCTTATGGTGACACGCCAACGTGGTCATTAATTTTTAATTGTTGACGACTAAAACGAAACTAAACACAACATTATGTATGATTTTGAAAAATAATAGTTATGTGACTAAAATGAAACCATGAGAATTGGCGGCTGAATAAACTTTAATTTACCCTAAAATTAAATATATTGTGTTTGTGATTTAGTATTTGTGAATATATTTATTTAATATTTACAAATATATTACATAAAAAACATTTACAAATAATTAAAATTTATTTATAAATTAGAAAGAAACAAACTTAATCCTAAACTTTTTTATCTACGTTATCTTCCAAAGGCTAAAATATTAAACAAGTCTTGGAATTATTTCACTTTTTAAAATAAATATAAATCATATTTAAGTGAATATATGCGCTTAAAATTTTAATTTTTTAAAATTATTTATTAAAATTTATAAAATTATAAACTCTGTTAAACACAATTTGGTATTTTTTTAGTAAAATGTGCGTGAAGATAATCATCATCTTCTACTTGCTTGTATGGATTAACTTTAGATAAGTATTTGTGAATATGTATTTGGAAGTTTAATTTTGAGTTCATTGAAAGTTATTTATTTATTTATTTATTTTTAATTCTACTTTAAGTTATTAAAAGTTAGTTTTTAATATTTTTCTATTATTTTAAGTTTAGGAGGATTGGAATTTTGATAAATTTTGAGAGTAATATGGAAAAAAAATCAAGGATTAAATTGAAGTAAAGATAAAAAAAATTAAGACTAAATGAAATTTTATCTTGAAATTTAACAATTCATTACAATGGAAACATTTGATTAACAGAAAAAGGAAAGAAAAGAAATGATAGAACTTTCTAAATGGTTGTGGATGATGAATATTATATTTATAAAATATATAATGTTAAAATTAGCCCTCAATATTTACTAAAATAATTATTTTAGTTATTTTAAAAAATAATTATTTTGATTTCTATTTTTTGAGTATTTTGATTCTCGAATGTTTTATTTTAGGCAAAAAAATCTCATACGATTTGATCAAATAGTTGCTTCGGCCCTTATTATTTTTTAAAATATTTTGGTTCTTAATATTTCATTTTAGGGTAAAAGTCTCATATTTTAGAGCACTAGTTGTTTGTTAACTAACTGTTTCCATTCATATAAGACACTTTTGTAATTTTGTCCCAAAATAAATCGTTAGGGACTAAAATACTTAAAATATAAAAATAAAAATAACCATTTAATCAAAAGTTAAAGAATTTTTTGACATTATATCTACATAAAATAAAATTTTAAAATAAATATTGATTGTTAAATATCAATTTTAGGAATAACCAATGAAAATAAAATTTAACAATAAATGATGGATTATATAACTTTTACTCTAAAAGTTATATTAAAAAAAACTATAGGAAGTTCTAATGTATGGAAGTCTAATTTAAGATTAAGAAACGATAGAAAATATACATAATCGAAAATGTTATAAAAATGTAGTATTTTAAGTTGAATGCAACTTAAATTGTTAACTTTTTAATATTTTCGGTTCAACCGAAAATATAATATGAAGAATGTAACATTTTCGGTTGGCAACCGAAGATATTATGAAGAAGGTATATAACCGAAAAATATTAATAAAAAGTTAACATTTTAAATTACGTCCAATGTAAAATATTATGTTCTTTTATAATATTTTCGATTGTACCTTTTTCTCATAGTTCTTTAATCTTAGTTTTTTCCGATTACGCCTCTTTCTTATCGTTCTTTAAGCTTAAATTAGGTTAGTTTAGACATTAAAAAAAATTAATAAACAATATAAGAAAGTGCTGTAAATTATTGGATTACCGTGCGAAACTCGCAGCCTACCCATCTATTAATAGAGATGGGCATGGGTCGGGTTTGGATTAACTCGATCCAAAAATTTTACATCCTTCACCCGATTTGACTCGAGCTGAAAAATATATATCCTCCACTTGACCCGAACCTGACTTGACCTTTTGAGATAAAATCTGAACCATATCCGACCCAACCCGAAATAATAAAAAAATAATATTTTTATTCAATCAAAATAGTGATTTAATTGAAAAAAATAATACAAAGAGGGGTATTATTGTAATTATTCCTAAATATATAAGGTAAAATTATATTTTTTCGGGTCGGGTATTTTCACTCTAAATCTGAATCCGACCTGACTATAACATTATCTTTAAAAAATCTGACTCGAATCAATTTTTTTTAAAAATCCGATCCAATCGGGTCATAACACGTCGGGTTAGTTTCCGTTGCTCATCTCTAGCTATTAGGCGACTTTTGTGTGTGCAATAATGGAAAGTGGGCTCAACACGATTTGGATTGGATTAGTAGACTTTTCATTTCTAACATTCATTGTTGGTTTAATATTTCAGTTGGCAGAGTTCATTTTTTTTACCATTTACTATTTTAATACTTGAATTATAAAATGTTCTAAATTAAGTGTTTGATAATAACGACACGAATGAATTTACCTCAGTGATAAAAGAATTGTTATTGTTCTTAGAGGTCATTGATTCGAGCTCCAGCAGGGTGATTGAACATTCATTATCAAATAATTAAAAGTATTTAGAATATATATTACTTTGTAATCACTTTAGCTTAATAACGTAATATTTTATTAGTCAATAAATAAATAATTTAATATATATTTATTAAATGTTTTTTGTTTAAACTCAATTTCCCCATAAAAAAACTCAATTTAGTATATTGTGATGTTTGTTATATCAACTGAATTGAGTTGTATTTTATTGTTTTGTATACCTTGTGTGTAAAAAAGAAAATTTACGTTTGATTTTCGGTTGGTAAAATTTAAAATACTTTAAAATAATAATTATATTTAAAAAATCTTATAAAATAATTATATATTAAACATAATAGCAAATATAATAATACATTACTCTTATAGTTATAAATTTAAAAATATGACAGAATAGATTATTGATGAAATCTATCCCAATACGTTTTACAATAAAGGATATATCTGTTGCACGATGAATTTCTTCGTTGTAGTTACATTTCTTTATCGTTATTAGTCCTGTAAACGAACCGAACGCACACGAACGGAAGTATGTTCATGTTCATTCATTTAATAAATAAACGAACATAAACAAACACGAACATAAACGAACAAATTTTTTTTGTTCATGTTCGTTCATTAAGGAATATAGTTTGTTCATGTTTGTTCATGTTCATTCATTTAAATGATAAACGAACGTAAACGAACACAAACGAACGAACATAAACGAACATAATAAATTAACATAAACGAACACAATAAACGAACATAAACGAACAACACAAACACAAAAAAATAAACTTATTCGAACACAACAAATGAATGTAAAAAGGAAGTAAACAACAAGAATAACAACGTAAAATTCATTAATATAACCTGCAACTTTAGAGTTAATTTGTTCGAATATGACAAAAACATACATAAATCATAAATAAGCTATATGAACATAATAAAGTCTTAAAGTTAATTTGTTTAACAAAACAATATTATTGAAATCAAAACAAATTCAATAATCTTCGTAACATATTCAACTTGCCCTTTATTTGAATATAAATGAACATAAATGAACGAACATAAATGAACATATAATCGAAAGTTCATGAACGTAATGAACGAATGAGCCATTTGTTCGTGTTCGTTCATTTAATTAAACAAACGCAAAATCTTGTTCATGTTCGTTCATTTAATAAATAAATGAACTTCCCGCCACACGATTCATAAACGGTTCACTGAACTTTCAGTTCATTTACAGACCTAATCATTATTATCATTATTCTAATTCACATAATCATAAATGGTTCAAATAATAATTTTTTAATAACCTAAAATGATTATAAAAATAACATTTACTTATAATTTTCTTAATTTACTGATGAATATATATATTATGAAGATACAATCTCAGACCCAAAATATATAAGTAGAATAATAATTTTTTATTAATAAAGTGATTGGATACCACAAAGTTAATTTCAGGGGAGGATGCATATGGTTTTATAGGGAGTTAAATATATACCCATTATTTTAGATTAGATATTAAATATAATACAATATATTAAAGGAAGAAAAAATAAGAAATTTTGCATGCCCATTATATTGAAAAAATAATATAATATTAAATTAGTTATTAGTATTTTATTAATATAATATTAAATTATTAAACATTATATATTATTATAATATATCTGATTACATATTAATATAATATTATTAAAATTATATTATGATAATATTAAATATTTTAATGATTAATATTTTATTAAAATAATACTAATATATTAAATTAATATTAAATAAATAAAATAATATATTTTTTGAGTGCTTTTACTCTAAAGTGAAAAGTAAAAAAATATTTTACAGAAAATCAGATGGTAAAACATTGTACATAAAATACAAAGAAACTAGAAAAATAAATTACATTAGAAAAATCAATTATAACTATCAAACACTTAAATACTTTCCGTAAAACAAATTACAACTATCAAATATCGTAAAACATTTTCCAACTATTAAACACAGGAAAACGAAGAACACAATTTTAAGAAAATATTTTTCAGCTATCAAACACACCCTAAGTCTAACTTAAACGGTAAATCGTTCACCTACCACCAAACCCGAAAAATGATAAGAAAAAATATGGTCTCACAGCTGTAAAAAAATATTAGAGAATTCTGATTTACCATATCATTTATGATCTTATCTAATAATAATT